ACACAGCCTTTTCCAACCACGCCAGGTGTCGTTAGAAATTTTTCACACGACCACACGTAGTTTTCACGATGAGGAGTGGCACTGTGTCTACTTATTTGATCTGCTGGCACTTCTAATTATACAAAAAAAAGAAAGTTTGGATGTCTTCCCACAACTGTGCGATAAGGATTCCGATGGAAAAATGGACGAACCACGTCTTTTCGGAATAGAGGACCTTCGTCCTCCCCTTATTTTAAGAAGAAGTTAGTTTATTGGTCAATATGTAAATTCGGAAATTAGCAGCGCTCTCCCATGATCTTCTATCTTATCGCTATTTATCCTCTCTCATCCCTCACTAAGTTGGTCAGCATTGATTCGTATGCGAGATCTACCCCTACTATTGTCTAATTTTCGATGGGGACGGAAATAAAAAATCTTATTAGTTTGTCTATCAGTCTATTATATTCATCACATCACTAGTGCGTTTTGCCAGAAAATTCAAATTTCGTCAGCTAACTATATCAGTATTAAAAGTCTTGCTAATTGTTACTTCTGAGTACGTATACAGAATTTTTAAAGGTTGCACTTTATATTACTCATTTTTTGCTATTTTTCATAATCATCATGGGTCAATTTCTTTTTTGTGGCGCCCTCACGATCGAATTCGTATTCGAATTATTAGTTGTATTTAATTTCTAGTACGCTCGTCATTATTAGTTAGTTTATATTTTATTCGTTTCCATTCGTATGCACGTACAATAAATTTAAACTACGTCGGTCAGTTACGTGCGTGCTTTTTGTCATTCGCAATCTCTTTCTTTCTCTAGCTTGCGCTCCTTCTCTCTCTCTATAGTCCAGATGGCCTGTTACTGCTCATAGAAATGGCCGCCGCTACTTGTCCACGTGCGCTTTGCTGGGTACTGGTGTTAGTTTTCACTTTCTCAAGCGCTCGATTGTCGCTCCAGTCTAGATTTGTGCATATGTGCGCGTGCGTATGTGTATGCGTGCGCGTCTGTATGATTGTGCGTGTCTACGTATGTGCAGAACAAGATTTTCTCCACATAGTGGCAGCGTAACGCTCAGGGCGCCGTCATCATACACGCGCAACCGGCAATAGCTGATTGCCTGCTGCTCGTCTCCGTTGGTTGCAGCAATGGCTCCAGTGGCTAGACGACCTTGGGCGCCAGAAGAAAATATGTGTGCCGCCTAAATATTCGATGAATTAGTTTTTCCGGTCATTTTCTACTCATTTTTCTGCCGTTTTCCGTAAGTGCCAGCATGCGTTTCCGTATATGTATGGGTTAGATCGTCTCGTTTACTTGTTGCGTTTTATGTCGTGTTCCCGTTAATGTCCTCCCCCGTTAATGCTTCTCCACAGTCCTATGGTTAGTTCGGAGGTGGAAAACTCGCTAGTTATCCATCCGTCGGCGCATGTATTCGCATGGCCGCGAATGATCGTGACGGTGTCGGTGTATATTAGTGTGCGTGCACTCCTAAATGCTCTTTTTCGTATCGGCTGCTCTTCTCGTGGTTTACCTTCCGTCAAATCACGTCGCCGGCTTGCAACATTGTTCTCTTTTTGCAAAATTGTGTGGGTGGATTGATTTTCGTGATATCAAGTATTTTGGATTGGAAAGTTAAGGATCTATATTATTTGTGTGGTCACGTGGCGTGGAAAAGAGTGGTAGCCTTTTTAATGGTGATGCATCGCATCACAACTTGTGTGAGGATATTAATCGACAGTGGAAAATTAAGTTTTAGGCTGCTTACAAGTTTTTTTCTTTTTCTCGAATATTTCCAATAACGCGAAAGATGGCCCAAATCTACTGTGTTTTACGTGAACCGTTTGATTTTCTTTATTTATTCCCCTATGAGAAAGGGAGGTTGCCGTGTCATAGTAATTAGTTATATATTTATTTATTTTAACAATTTATCGCCGGCATAGACCATTTTGACTAACCATGATTAACTGCTATCATTAAATAAAACTTTAAGGTATTTATAACTCCTTTAATTTTATAAAGTTCTTTGATATATTCGGCCATTTCGATTTTCGATGTCTTTTTATCTTTTCTACAGACATTAATGATAGTACATTATGCATCTAAGAAACAAAGTAAGCAAAATATATATGTATAAAGTTGCCATTCGAGGGGAGCGAGGGCGGAATCACAGTGCCATTCCGTATTCATTGTGCTTCCGTGGTGCGTATATGATTTTTCCGCACATTACGCGGAAAGTGTGTTTATATAATATCAATATTATTATAAAAAACATATAATTTTCTACGGAAAAGGTTTCATTCGTAGGAGTATGTATAAATACACGCTGCTGAGTTAATATAGCGCTTGACGCTAGCTTTATTCTCAAGGTCGATTACCACGTGCGAACTCTAACCAAAGATTAAAAAAGACATCGCTAAAAGTATACAGTATACAGGGTATCTATAACGACCGGATACACCCCAAAATCTTTCAGACAAAAGAATTTTTCAAAATAGCCAAGGTCATTCTTGAAGTGAATCTTTACGAGGAATCCATTGGTGACCTTAAATGTGAACTTGAGCGTAATCTTTAAAGTTATTCGAAGGTCAGCTTTGATTTTTAAATGGGGTTCCCTATTTTCGATCCTGGATTCGAAAAGAACGGGGAATTCTATATTTATATAAGCTAAAATAGTTGGGGTCTCAGTGACCTCTAAGGTCATGTGGGGATAAGCTTAATTTTTTTCTTAATCTTTACTCCTTAACGTTCAAGTAAGGATAATGTTTAGCAGTAAATATTTTAAACCAATTTTGCTCAACTTCGATGAAGGCATATTTCCATGATTTTACTTTTGACCTTTGGAGGTCATGCTCAAGGTTATTTAAAGGTCATGGAAATATGGCTACGTTGGAGTTGAATTTTTGTTTAAAATATTTTTTACTAAACATTACCCGATGATTTGGGTGAAAAATAAAGAAATAAAATGAAGCTTATTCCCACATGACCTTAGGGGTTACTCTGACTCTAAATATTTTAACTTATCTGAATGTAGAATTTCCCGCTCTTTCCAAATCCAGGATCGAAAATAGGGGTTCCCTTTTAAAAAAATAAAGCTGACATTCATATAGCCTTGAAGGTCACGCTCAAGTTCACATTCAAGGTCACCAAATGGATTCCTCGTGAAAAGTTACTTGAAAAGAATGATCTTGACCATTTTGAAAAAGTATTTTGTCTGGAAAATTTTTAGGTGGTGATATAAGGATAACTTAAATTTTTGCAAAATATTCGACAAATGTTTGAAATAAAAGTTGTATGGTTTAAAGGAGATCAACCTAGGATGACCTCAAACTAGACCATGATTTCTATTTTCAAGATCATTTCAAGGTCAACTCTGTTTTTTTAAATAGTTACTCCTATTTTTGATCCTGCATTCGGATAGAGCAGGAAATTATACCTCCAGACTACCTGTTATATTCGTACATAGAATTCGGAAGACTTTTCAAAGTCATTTCATGGTTAACTTTGTTTTTTTTAATAGGTTTAAAAAATGTAATACAAAACCGACGGCCATTAGTGCGATGAATCCGAATCCGGCATAAGAATTGCTCCTATACCCTAGGTTTTTGAGATATCCTAATCTAAATATATAAATAATGCGTTTTTATGGTATAATTCTAAAAAAGAATACTGAAAATAATTAGAATTTTTAAATAACGCTTAATTTTTACTGGATTAAATTTGTAATTTCAATTTCGTTTGTTTGTTCACCCTACGATAGCAGTTGGTCTATTAATTCTTAAACTCGATTTTTTTATTTGTTGTTATTTTTTGTAACCTGCAGCTAGAAATTTACAACAAATTCATTTCTATATCAACGCAGCTAAAATAAAAACAATATTCGCACGTTTTATTATTGTTTATTGTTTGAGAGTCGATTTACCCCAAAATATTGGTCTTAAAACGTCGAGTAAATTCGAATCCTAAAATCACGTGTACTGGTATGTTTGGAATTACTACAACTGCAATTGCTGTACAGACATTTAAAATTTGTATTTTCGCGAGAAACACCCCCTTCACAGCCTCTTCCTACCCGTTAGCCATGTGAGCAAAATGAAACGTGATGGTTTCAGCAAATCGTGTGTACTTCTAACGATGGTCTCCCACTAGCTCCTGTGTATAGTTCTTCACAAACCATTTATCAAAAATTATTTTATAATTATTCTATCATCATGCAGTTTTATTGAATAATGCGAATATTTAATAGCTTCGTTGATATCAGGAATAATTAGCGGGAATAATAAGTACTTTGAGATCAGCTTTTGCTTTATCGTGACAAATTTGATAAAAACCTCTTATAATCAGATCAAATACTGCAAAGATAATTTATTTAACTATTCTACTCCATTAAATCGAAGGAGAAAGCTCGCTGCTCATATTGTAGAACCAGAGGTCATTGATTTGACTACTTTTATTTTCTTCAAAATCTGTATCGAGGGCTTGTATTCTCATCGATCCCTCATGTTCATTTCCTTGTTTTTCTATAACGCACTTCCATTATTCACTCGTATGGCTACCGAAGCGTTATTTTGATGTATTCAAGCGCCATCTCACGGTTATTTAAGAATCTTTTACGCTCATATATTGACCTGTTCCTCTATAAACGTCTATCTTCTTTAACAAAATTAATATCACTATTGCATTGTCCAAAATAAATTACATCGTAAACATGCGTTACTTTGTAATTTTTAAATTAGCTTTTTCCGATAATACGTTATAAATAATAAAATTATACATAAGTAAATTGATATAAGCAATAGTTTACCACCTTAAGTTATCGATTTGATACGTTTCTGAGAAAGTAACATTGTTTTAGTAATTCCTATCTTTAAATTTATTTATTTATTTAATAAGAGAATACATTTAACTACCTTTTTAGAATTCGAACACACCTTACAACATTTAGTTTAATAATAAATACATAAATGATTAACAGATATATAGAAGTTGTTGTTTATTTTTTTGATTTTCTTTTTTCAGAGAATACAAAGAAGCTCTAAGACAACAGCGAGCAAATGAAAGTTCACGTATTTATAGAGCTAAAGAACAAGTACCATTACCTGAGAGTAATTGGTTTATAGAGAGTACAGATTTGTCAGAAAATAATGTTTCGATAGATCAACAAACATTCATTGAGGATAATTCAAATAAAAGACCAGTGCAAAAGGTTGTACCATCACGAGTCAATTATCAAAATTCAACTTTACTCACTGTCAGTCCTGAATTAAATAACAAAAATAGAAAATATCATGAACTGATTTATAAAAAACCTGGTTCACCTATTAAAACACCAAGCAGTTTCGTGCCTCAAATCTCTAATCCAGGACATATACCGAGATCGACAAAAACACAAATTTACGTTTTACAAGGTATCATACTCTTATGTTACCCTTTATTACCATCGATAATAAACAAAACTTGAAAATTGAATTTAAATTTAAGGGTCTATAGATTGAACCAAATATTTTTTTAACTTTAAGATTTTCCTAGTAAGAATTTATTTAGTTTCATTTTTATTATTTACTATTTCAGATCAAAATGAAACATAATTATATAAATAATATTACTATCCAACCAAATTATCTAAATTTTATATTATATAAGATATCTAAAATTATAAGTACTAAAGCTTTATTATCAAAATTTTATACTTCCAATGAATAATGAACTGTGAGATAATAATCTAGAGGAGAGTCTACTCAACAATAATTTAACCATTGCAAAATACATAAAATAAATTATTAAAAATTATAAATAGAAAAATATCAAAGAGAACTAAACGCTCTAATTAAATTAATTATTCGTATGAGAATTTTTTGTTATCGCTTATAACGAATTTAATTCATTCGTTATGTCTCTCTCCTCCCACGCATGCATATACATAGTTTATATACTTATACCATATTTGGATTTACATTATATTATACCGCAGCCCGCAGCAGCCGGCAACGCCGAAGTATAAGGTAAGAGAGAGAGCGCGTTAAGTTTATCAGCGAGCCTATAAGCAGAGAGAGTTGCGTCCGCGGGTACGCGCATATGCGTGTGGTCGTGCTGCCGAAAAGTGCGATGAAGGAGTGGAGACGCCTCCCGCGGCAATTGACTGGCGGACGTAACACGGGCGACACGTGTTTGAACGCGCGTTGAAGAACAGGCCTCTCCCTTTCTTTTTTTGCTCGGGCAGTTGCCGTGGTCTAGCGTTCCTCGACTTCCTTTTTCTTACTGAAGTATCCGGACTTTCGACCTGGCATTGCCTTAAATTGTTGCGAGTGCGTGCAGTGGTGCGGCGAGTTGACAGGGTGGTGTGCGTGTGCAAGACCTAGTGCTAGGCAGTCCTACGCTTTTTCACCACTGCAACCGGCGTCCGGGAACGCCGTTCAGCGAGCGAGCGCTTATTGTACAAAGGGCCTGGCCATTGTCGTCACATTGTAAGTACCGACTCGTTTAGCTCTCTCTTGCTGGCTTGCCGCTTCTCTCTCTCTCCCCTCGCCGATCTGCTACTCTGTACGCTTTCCCTTTGGTGCTTTATATAAATTATTTTTATCTTTCTTATTCTCTGCGTTTCTCTGATTTTGCGCCCGGCTCCCTCTCCCTATCCTTGGCGAATTCTCTGCGCTCGTCACTACTTTTCGCGCTTTTCAGCCACTGCTACCTGCGACGCTCTACGCGGGCCACGAGGCTGCTTGACATCGTGGCTGGTCGAAGGGCTTGGCCACCCACGCACCAGCGTATTAACCTCGTGGCATCAGTAACTGGTTAAGTCGAGCTGTCAACTAGTCTATCCTCTCGATTATAACGGCGGGTTAGCCAAAACCCCGTTATACGCTATAATAAGCTTAAGGTGGTTCTATGGCCAAGTACTCAACTTGCGGTAGCTGCACGCTTGAAAAATACTTTTTGTCTTCTACTCATTCAATATAAAAGTTATCGATGAATCGAAACGAAAAAATTTGAAAATATTCCTTGTAATATATATACTTTCTCATAGTTTTTATTACGAATTCGATATCTACTTTTATTTGTCTATAAAAAATTATAACCTGAAAATTTATAAAATTCATAACAAAAGTCGATAAAATTCTGTCATGAATTTTGAAAGATAAAAAATTTGTTTAAGCTACATTATTTAATAAGCTTCCAACACTACATATATTAGTTTATAGTCTTAATATTCATCAGAAAAAATTTTAGAAGCTATTTAGTAAAACGGTTTGACGTCGCGGCCACGATTTCTGGCACTTTTTTGCAATATTAATATTATAATAAGCAACGTTAATAGTATAAAAAATCTACGGTGACTTACAATTTTGAACAAGGCAATCACTTCAAAATTTAACTAGCTTCATAATGTCACTAGTTCAATTTCTCACGGGGTTTAGGGATTAATGCAATGCCACTTTCCATTGAGTGGGAAAATTGGACAGATGAAGACTTGCATTGGAAATAATTGTTGAATATCTTATTCCTATTATGGGTAGCTTGTTGATAACATTATTCATTATTTATGTAGTCTTATCAAAACCGAGTAACTTTTTGTCATGGATGTCAAGATCTTCTAGTAAGGTATCTTCTTCTTTTTCTGTGATTATTCTTCGGTAAGGCTTAAATGTTATGTATAGACGATTGGTAAACATCGATTTTTTTCTCATATGATTTTGTCCATTTACCACAGGATTTCCTGATGGATGGAATAAAAGCAGTCGGTCTTTTCAGTCTTTTGGTAACTTTCTATAGTGAGTAATTTTTAATTTCTGCTGGACTCAATTCTCTCCGATTTTTTCCGTTTGTAAATTTTTATCCTGATATAGGATTTTTTTTAATCTTTAGTCGTTTTGTTTAATTTTGCTTTATCTTAATTTAATCTGGTTGTATGGTATTTAATCCTCGTGATCTCGTTTTTTTAATAATATTGATAGTTAATAGTGATGTTCAAGGGATTTTTTATTATTTTCCACGTCATTATCTCATTTAAGAAGTTTGTTACACGTAAGGCGTTCATCAATATAAAAAGTAAATTTTTTTCAGTCTGTTTTCATGTAGTTGTTTACTGATTTAAGTACTTGTATGTGCAGTGTAATTAAGTTCAAACATAATACCTCAAAGTATTTTTTGTCTGTACCTTTAACAACTGTAAAATCTACCAAAGGCCATAGCCGATTTTCTATAGTGATTTGGGTCCCTAGCCGTTTTCAAAAAGCAATTACGAGATCCTTTTTGGTGTGGTTTGAAATGTATTCACACCGATTTCCAGCCTTTAAGATGCATTGAAACCGGGGTAAATGCAGAAAAAACTGTTTTACACTTTCTTTATATTTTGGCCTATATCTCCCAGGGAAAGCCAAATTTTTTGACGTACTTTTTTTAATTTTACTCGCGAGCATTTTTTCTATCTACCAGAGATGATTTTAGAATTTTTTCGACGCCCTGAAGCTCGAGAAAATACTTTTTCCAACGAAAAAATTGGATTTTTTGCAATTTTGTTTACTTTTTCCTCCGGTTGAAAATACGTTAGATCATACTATAAAAAGTTCATAAATCGCCATGCCACAGGCGCCATAGGCGTACAAACAATGTATAGTCATTACTATCACTGATATTGTATCTAGTTCATCCGTAATTGAATACTCTTGATATTTCTACAATTTCTTTTAGTATTTTTACTCCTGACAACTTTTTCCGATAAGCATATAAATTTGGCACATTCCAGACTATGACGATCAACTTTTTAAGGGTAGATTTCGAATTTTCTTGAAACTTCGTCTACATGTTACCTACGAGGGTCGTTTGAAAAGTCCGTGCAAAAATAAAAACTGCTTGATTTTTTTTAATAAATCTTTTTTATTTTTCAACATAGTCTCCTTTTAGGCTTATACACTTCATCCAACGCTGCTCTAGTTTGTTAATCCCTTCAGAATAATAGGATTTGTCCAAGTCTGTAAAATAGGCATTCGTTTCTGCAATCACCTCGTCGTTTAAATAAAATCTTTACCCCGCCAGCCATTTTTTCATATTAGGGAAGAATTAGTAGTCCGACGGAGCCATGTCTGGAGAGTAGGGGAGATGTGAAACGAGTTGGAACCCTATCTCCATCAGTTTTGCGGCCACAACTGCTGAAGCGTGAGTTGGCGCATTGTCGTGGTGAAAGAGGACTTTTTTGTGGGCCAATCGTGGACGTTTCTCTAGCAACTTGGTTTTCAAACGATTCAGTAACGCTGACTAATATTTATATGCAATGGTTTTACCCTTTTCCAGATAGTCAATGAAGATTATTCCTTGCGAATCCCACAAGACAGTCGCCATAAACTTCCCGGCCGAAGGAATTGTCTTCGCCTTTCTCGGAGCAGATTCCCCCTTGGTAACCCATTGTTCAGACTGTTCTTTGGTCTCAGGAGTGTAATGATGTACCCATGTTTTATCTACAGTGATGAAACGACGCTTAAAGTGTTGCGGATTTTGCTGGAACAACTGCAAACCATTCTTGCAACACTTCACACGATCTCGTTTTTGGTCAATCGTGAGCAATCGCGGCACTCATCTAGCGGATAGCTTTTTCATGTCCAAATGTTGGTGCAAAATATTATGTACCCGTTTGCTCAAGATGCCTACAGTACTAGCAATCTCACGCACCTTCACTCTTCGGTTAGCCATTACCATATCATGGATTTTATCAATGATTTCTGAAGTGGTAACCTCAACAGGGCGTCCAGAATGTTCTACGTCTTTTGTGCTCATATGGCCACTCCGAAAATTTTGAAACCACTTATAAACCATTCTAATCGAAGGTGCACAATCACCATAATGTTTATCAAGCTTCTGTTTAATCTCCTGAGGCGTTTTGCCTTTGAAAAAGTAATGTTTAATCAATACACGAAATTCTTTTTCGTCCATTTTTTTACAACCACTCGATTTCTTTGATTGAAATAAATGTAAAACGCAAAGTAATTGGCTGAAACTTGGTGTGTGCTCTTCCAAGTAATGCACCTAACTGAAAATAATCTTGATACGCACTAGTAGCGCCATCACTCTGACTTTGCACGGACGTATATGGTAGTGCATTTAAGTATGGATTATTAGATTATTATAATAATCATATCAAAAGTTATAAACAATTAAAAGTTTTTGATGGAAAATTTTGTAAAATTTATATCTCCGCAACCGTTTAAGTTATCGAAATGAATTTTTTTTTAAATTACGTATAAAAGGGTGTACTTTGAAGATATTAAGCGAATAATACTTTAATATCGATTTTTCCAAAAGTTATTAACATTTTTTTTTAAACAATTGGCCATATCTCAAAAAGTAATATTTTTATTTTTGAAGTTCTTATTTTATTGAATTCCTTAAAATTTTTTCTTTAAGAATCCACGTTAAA